ACAAAACTAATCTGGCACATACACACAAAAGGCTCCCTGAATGCTTCTCATCATACTTGAGCCTATCTTTTCTTCTTAGCATAAAGGCCTAATTCATGGTGTTGGTGGAAACACACATGTATTATGTTGCACTGTCTTTTGGACTTTCATTAGGGCTGCAAATCTGAATGCAGCAGCTGCAGCTGAGAGAGAGGCCAGTAGTATTATGCATCCCCCGGTCAAAAGAATGACTGTGTTTCATTGTACAAATCAATGACTGCATCTACAAACAAATGCTTTCAAATCCAGATATTCTCCCTTGTTCAACTTTAAAATGGCTTGCACTGTCTAAATATTTTGGCTGGATGGTTTTATGCAGCGAGGGAGTGAGCTCAATTTTAATCACCAAATGGATCAATTTCGTTTTACCTTGAAAGTTTTCATTGCAGACAAAAGTGTCTGGAGTGCAAAATCCAATTTGCAAGCAGGATGTTATATAGCAGCTCCCTCACAAAAGGTCACTGTGTTTTTTTTAAAGCTCTGTCTGCCTGCTTGCATTTCCTATCTAGCTGCCCAGCGGGCCATACCATTCTCTCCTAACAAATCTAGGTTTGGTTAGCAGTTCAGACGCACATCTGATCAGGAAAGACATGAATTCATGTTGAACATGTTCCGGAAGATGATTTAATTGTACTTTTTTTGGCATCTAACATTAGTAAGTCAGCATCATTCACACATACCACTTTGTAATTTTTTGCCGACACTAGCAAAAGGAGTGACTTTAGTATCTTGATAGAGGACAGCAGGTTGTTACTGGTGAGAGTTTATCACTATCTGGCAAACTACGCCATCCATTCACAAGAAAACAACAAAAATTGTGATTTTCTCCCACAACAGTCATGCACTTGAAGTGTTGTGTAATCATCCTAATACAACTCTTTTGACTTTGCAGGTCACAAACAAAAATTCAAGGGTATTGCCAGCAATGGTCTTGTTCTGTTATGGGAGGGGCACTCACGACTTCTTCTCTGAGCCAGGATATTTCTAGAGCTGACCCATTTAAACAGCATGGAGAAGCTGCAAGCACAGGTGCATCTGGATGGCTGCAACTGCCAACCAGAAAGCGTAATTACATACATTAAGTGTCAAAACTGATTTGCACATGTAATTTGATGGGTGGATGTGCAAACTACACAGGATTTGAGTGGGAAAAAATACAGGCACCAGGGCCATGCCGCATTTGTTTCATTCATGTCGAATACTTGAACTGAATAAATATAAGTGTTCAGCAATTCTTTGATGAGGGAAAGTGAACAATTTGGTTGTTTTATTCAGAAAAGTAGGCTTTGAATGACAAACAGTGGCTGTTACAGCTATTATACATGGCCTACAGCCCTGCACAATTAGTGCAACTCAGTACTGCTTAGTATTGTGCTGCTGCGAGATAGAGAGCGAGAGATATCCATATTTAGAAGGACCTCATTGATTCTTCCTAACCAGAGCACAAAAGATTTGTTGTCTGTCCAGTCTTGAATAGCAGGACCTTAATGACAGCCCTGCATTATAAAACCTCCTGCTGACCTCAATCACAGATTTTGATGAAACTCTCTAAATGTAATTCGACTGCATTCTGTCTCTGCGCAGTTACATAACAATATCATAGTGACAAATGCACAACCACAAATAATTCACACCATCAGGAGGCCTCGAAAAGAAACTGCACCCACCGAGAGGCCCGTCTCTTCGTTCCAAATGTGTTTCCCCTTTAATAAACTCGCACACATGACTGCGTGAATCCTTAGCCAAAATGGCAGATGATGAAGGATGAGAGAGGAGCGTGTAGTAAAGATTTAATTAAGACTCGCCATGGGATGTCTTACTGTGGCTCCAGAGACCGGGACAGAGGAGTTTGTGTTTGCTCAGTGCAGCTGTGAATAATATCTACACTATTCTTACTTTGACCTACATGTACTGAGAGGAGGATCTGAGAATGTGCCCACATGAGTCCTTCTTCCTGTCTTATTTGCACCGTGAGGCTGCCAGAGGGGGTTCTCCTTATGGTAAACCTTATGTTGACTTTAAATTGTCAATCTCTGCTGGAGATAATCTGGGACAGAAGAGACATCAGCGCTGTTTGTTTCCATTAAATGTGCAGTAGATGAGAGGCTGCACTGCTCAATCCCTCCTGCAGTGTGTTTGCAGATTGTTGAAGGTTTATAAGCAGTTTTCACCTCCCTTCATCTCATCCTCGTGACGTAGATTTTTATGGTCTCCATGGAAGATTCCCATCAGCACTTTACTTCATTCCCTTTGAAATCAATTCAGTCTCTTTTGCTCCTACTCAGTGTGGGTTACCATGGATACCGCTCCCAAATGGTTTGGCTTGTACATGAATTTGTTTATGAGTGTTACTTGGAGTGGATTGGAATGTTCTTTTTTTGTGCAGCCAAAGTAAACATAATTAGCTATTTAAGCATGAGGATATTACATTTAAATGGTTATTCTATTCTATTTTGTTCTATTCTTCATGTTTCAAGATGCAGAGCACGCTGTTTGGTCAAGGTTTCTTCAGGCAGTGATCTTTTGCAAACATTTGCCACCTTAAGGGTACAACATGCAGTATCAGCTACATGAGGACACTAGTAAGAGTGCCTCCAGTCACTCAAGTGCGCTCTGGTAAAGCTTAGAAATCCGCTGAATATAATCTAGTCTGATCCACCAGGAATAGAAGCAACGCCAACATGGATTCTTCGATTCCCTGTTGAGCCAAAGGAGCATCCAAGTACTTAGTACTCACAAAAACATGTGGTCTCAGTGAGCCCTATACGGACTGCCACAACTGTAAATCATGTCTGGGGCGAGACAGTTGAAAGGAGAGGATTGAGTGGTTTAATTTGTTTAGGACTTAATCGGTGTTGATTTAGAATTAAGGGAAGACTGGGTGCATCTCCCACTGAGTCTTCAGATTCACCACTGCTGCATTTCTCTTCCCTCAAAGTCCACTGAATCCAAGTATACATATTTTATACAAGGCATGGAAAGGTCCTGTTCGGTGTGAAGGAACCACCCACATTCAGACATATGTCTATCTAAGAGGTCTAATTCTGGCTTTGTGAAATATTTACCACCGCAGGGACTGTGGACAACATCCCTAGCTTCCCTGGGGATTCCTTTTGAACAACCAAGCTGAATGTGTTTGCCTTAACATTGCTGTCTAATGTGTTTTCCTTGTTTCCTCTGACATATCATTACAGTCCAAAACAAGTGAAGCTGAGAGTTGCTTTGTATCAGCCTGCCACACTGGCTATTTTGGGTTGGACTTTGTAAGCAATGGGGCCTGGCTGTGTGAGCATCCCCGCATCTCTTATGTAATTCCCACCAATGGGAACACAGAAATCAGAATGAAAGTTTGTCGAGAGTCACTTAATCTTACATAGAGTTAATTGGAGACAGCTGGGGAACTGGAGGTTGTTTACTGTGCCAGCATGAGCGCGGAGCATTGTAAGAACAAAGCAGAACGTCCAGATTCTTCCTTATGGCTCATTATGGCTGATATGTCAGAGCAGCATGAAAGCTTGTTCGAGCAGTGGAGGCGAAGTGAAGCCGTGTTCTGCTTTAATGCTGTTACTTTGTGGTGGAATAATCCTGATTGATCCCTGTCAGAGGGGACTCTAATCAACAGAGAGCCATTGATTTCCTCTCCACGGAGCCTACAAGGTGCCTAAGACACCTGCTAGCAGCCAGCTGACAGACACTTATGCCTGCTAACCAACAGCTGACACAAACTGATGCCAATGCACTGTGATGGAGAGGGTGAGTCACACATGCTCAGATAGATCCCACTCTCAGGGATGCTGGATGCTGTACAATGTGAGATCCACTGTACTGTCATTCTGAATCATATCTCATACACGTGGTATGTCACAGATGGAGTCTCGGTTAGCTACGGTGTTCTGTAACCAGGATGCAGGAAGAGTATATAACAGAAGAAGAAAAAAATGGTGATCATCAACTGTGAGCACGCACGTGTAAAGCTGTCTTTCCTGTAACAAAATGAGCTCTGTCACAGCTAAATATCATTGCGATCTTCAGCCCGATCAGCACAGTTCGTCCGTAGTGATTTCTATCTGCCGTGAGAGTGCTTCAGTAAGCAGTTTTCCAGTGGCATTCACATGCTCCCGGCTGGGGCTCACAGCCAGCTGTCCCCATCATCAATTCAGACAATGCAGGAGGCTGTGGCGAGGTGAGACTACGGGGCAAATGTGTGTGGCACAGGGCAGGCTACAAGGAAATCATTTTAATCTTGCAAGACTGCAAAACAACAAAGACAATGTGTTGTCTTGAATTCATGCTGCATCATGGGAGATTTCCATAGCAGTGCAACAGGATATCTTTAGGCACCAAAGGAGTTGGTCTCCAGAGTCCAGGTCATCAACAGAGGAGGCCACACAAGTCAAGTGTTGATAAACAGGCCCTTAAACAGCAACAACTGAATGCTTTTCTTTGTTTTACATAATCTATGTATGACTATCTTTGGCTTTTGGCCTGCTGGTTGAATAAAACAAGGCATTTGAAGATGTCACATTGGACTATGGAAAATTCTAACAACTTTTTCTCACAATTTTCTGACATTTTTTAGATTATTTGAATAAGCAAGAAAATGTGTCGTTGTGGGTTAATGGATGATGTAAACAATCCTGTTGCAGCCTTCCACTTCCATAATAATGAAGTACTAAATCTCAGTATATTGGCACACAATTTTCTCATCAGCATGTATAATACATGCGCAACAGTGTAGGAGGAAGACCAGAAGTGACCAGTGAAGTGTGGGAGAGGCCCAATTCTGCAGGCAGCTTTTATTTAGTCTGTCTGCAAACTTTCTAAAAATGTAAATGTCAGACTCGCTTTGCCTCCTGATGAAGACAGCTGATTACAAAGCTTACACTGCAGGAACACCAAACGACCGACAGTTCCCCCGGAAATGCCCATGCAGCTGTCCTCAGGGCTCCATGTACCGAGATGAACGGAGAGACCGCATTGCTGCTCCGAGACTCAACACCCACTTCAGCCTCCTTCCAACACCCCCAGCCCCTCCTCCCCTCCCCTCCTCATAAAAACACGCACAACCACGCCTCCAGAGGCACGCGCACAAGCGCAGCCTCAGACACACCTCCTCCTTCCCCTCCATCACACACAAACACACACACACGCACAAAGCCATAAGCGAGTGTGAGAGCATCGAAGTGAAGTGGACAACATGTAAAGGCAGCGTGAAGGACGAGTGCTCGGCTCCGGGAGGCTCACAGCAGGTGCGGTAGGGGTGAAGCTGCACCTCGCGGAGAACAGGCTGCCGCTTCACCATGTCCACCGCATCCGATCCACTCACTGGCGTGACGGTAAGGCCCCTCATTCACTCGCGAAATCTTTCATATCCAAACTTAGCCCAACTCATCCAACCCCCTTTCCCCCGGCGGGCTCTGTCCTGGTTTGAACCCGCTTTGCTTCTGCCTTTCTCCGCAAATGATGTCATTCCGGGCTCAAAGGCATCAGGTCAGCCACAAAGGATGGAGGGCCGTCCGTGCCGCAGCACCAAAATAAAAGGGGTGTCGAAGTGCGTTAGTGCAAGTATTTGGTAACGCTTCAAGGCTGGATGTGCCTCGGTATGGCCCCGTGGGGAGCTTTCAGGCGAATCCGCATCACATTTGTTATTGTCTGCAAAATCTTGCATAATGGCAGAATACAGCCTGCGAAGTTGTTTTTAGTTACAAACCGGCGAGCAAATAAATAAGAGCCCATTAATATTAGACCGCATATAGAGCCATAACCTCATCATCAGGAAAATACAGCCTTTGGCACTGTGAATAATAGCAGCATCATTGCTGCATCCTTTCATTAGGTCAATATAAAGTCGCACTTGTGTGTCACAGATGGATTTTGCCCACACACACAATATTAAAGCGATTCATATTGATTGTGAGTCCATTTTTTTCCAGAGTGAAATTGTGCCCTCGGTGTGCAACTCCAGGAGTGTTTCATGGTTTCTTTGCTGTGTGCTGTAGCCATGGAGACAGTATGTGGCATGTGGTTTTATACTTGTGCAGGAAAGTGTGGTCCCTCTATTCAAGAACAGCCTAAGGCCTTTAGACCATGAGGATGAGTAGAGGAAAGAATGCATTCATTTAGAACAAGCTTCTTGCCCTGTCCTCTCATTTTAAAAACAAATGTGCTATTTTGTCTTGTCTTCTTGTCCTAGATTGTTAACAGATTAACCCCTTACTTCAGAAAAAGCCTAATATTTCCACAGGGACTTAAAAGTGTGTCTGTTGTGATCAGTTGTGATGTCAACAGTGACTTATTGTAGACTTACATAATTAATTCTGGTATTTTATTAATCTCTTTCAGCATTTATATACTGTAGCATTCCTGTTTGAACTCAAGGTTATTTTTACAATACCCCTGCAAACATGTTCTTATCTCCTCTAAAACATAATTTGCTACAAGGTGATGTGGAGCTATTGTTGGTATCCACTGATGTATTAAAGCTGGGTAGCTGTTTGAGACAGATAGATTGTGGTAGTAGCTCCTCGCTGAATGTTCACTCTTCACATCCTGCACGTTATTAGGTCATTTTTTATGCTGTGTAATAAAATGAAGTCTCATCAAGGCCCCTGCCATCTTGCTGACACCTCACCTCATCCATTTAAAAGGAAGATTGAAAGTAAAATGAGATTAAGAAAGTTCTTTCCTATTTAGTGGCATAGTATAAACCTCAGTACTAATCCCATCATCATTTGCATATTCTCCACTGATGAGATATTAGTAATGAATTTATGACTGCTATATTGGCACAAATGATAAAGAATGAGTCCCAGATAGTATTCATATTATGACAGTCAGCTATCAATTAGACATTAGTGACCATTGGTCCCAACAGTGATACAGCAGTTGGTAATAATGCAGTATGTAACCTCAATTCTTAAGGACAGCCGACTTTTGGGAAAATATTATTTTTACTGCATCTGAAAAAAGGGGGAAATTTGCCCTTAAACTACAAAACAGTTCCTTACTACAGTTGTTTGATTGATACCTTGAATTACTTGTGCAGCTGAAACACTAGCTAGCCATAACATGAATGCAAAAGGACACAGAAGTTCCTGTAACTGGACAAATAAGAAGATAAATATAAGGACAAAAATGGATATTGTATAAAATTTAGTGTTCTAAATTTAGGTGATCCATCTTGCTGGAAACTATGCTATGCAAATCTGTCTTTCAAATCAAAGTCTTTTTAAATGACATAAATAATCTTTGTATGCAACTATAGCTGCTTTCTTGTCATTAAGGATAGCAAAACACACATACAAGTAGCCCATAATTTGTCTTTGAAACAAAAGATTCTAAGGTACCATGCAAAGCAGTGAAAAACAGTGCTGGTTTGTCTGTCGCGGTTGGTCATGTGTAAAAGGACGTGATATTTAGGTGTGTTGTGGAGACATGACAGGGAGATAGCTGGTCAGTCCTCTCTCATCACGATGAACAGATGGTAACTCAGGGTTAGCTCGTGGGTGGGTGCCAACAAGGAAGCCCATGTGTGTGTGACACATAAATCCATTGTTGAAACGGATTCGTTTTGTCCATGAAAATATTCAAAGACCTTAAAAAAATATTCTGAATGTTCAAGCAGAAATTGACAGCAGTTGTGTGTATATTATTTATTCATAAGAAGTGAATAATTCAGACAGGAGAAAACAAAAATGGTTTGTTGCAACACATTTCTTTTTGAAATTAAAAACAAGGAAGGCCTCTTACTGAAACTTAAACTAACTTTTTCTTCTGTAAATTTGTTAACATTGTGAGGTCTTTATTGTGTAATACAGTTGGTTATAGGTTTCATGATTTAGTGGTAAAACTAAGACATGCTGCAGTAATGCAACAATCAATTAGTCTCAGATTATATTTTTTATCAAAAGCACCTTAAAATAGCATTACTATTATTGTCTACAATTGTTGTCTATAATTGTGTTTAATGTTTAATGATTCCAAACAGGTTTTTACATGAAATTAAATAAATACTTTTACTTGCAATTTGGTATTATGCAAGTTTTGTTTTGCATTTTCTTTGAATTAAATACAAACTCAGTTATTAGTGCAAGATCATGTAAACAGCTAATTTTAGTACACTGTCTCCAGGCTAATTAAAATTCATGTCGACAGTTTTTGTGGTCTGATTGTAGACAAAGTGCCCCCTCAAATATCTCAATATTTCAAAAATAATGAATGGTTGTCATGTTGCTCAGATACAAAGTTGTATTGTGGCTGTTGGCATGGAATTAACTTGGTTAGTAAATGAACAACTACAGCTGTTAATTTTAAACACAGCCATCATTACAGGTTTATCATGTGGTCAGGCTGTTTTTGTACAGATTCACTTACATCTGATTCAGCATTTTTGATGCTTTAAAATACAGCTGCCTGTCATTTACCTCACATCTGTACATTTGAATTGCATTGAAGTGTATTTGTTTTCTTTTCTCTCTTTCTTTCCACAGGCTGTGTTGATCTTGAATCACACTGAATGGAGAGTATTAAAGTTCCTTTAAGATGACACGAACGCACCCCCCTGATTTACTGGCATCGACTCTATATCGGGACTTCACTCTAAATCCCATCACAGACAACTCTATTTCCCTCCACTCCTCGCGGCAGTGTGACTTGAAAATGATTGACAAACCAGAAATCATCAACAAAAGACACTGCCGTAGCTTTGACTTTATTGAGTCACTGGATGACCCCCAGTCCTTCTCTTCCTCAATGGAGTACCCTTATAAGAGGGCTGAGCAACAGACATTAAACAAAGATCTAATGTGGAATGGACTAGATCAATCGGGGCACCTTCGCTTTTCATCTCCTGATCTGTTCAACACCAGGCAGTTCCAGCAGCAAACCACCCAGGACAAAACCAGCCATCTTACTTGGTCAGACTCTAAAAAGAGAACAAGATCTAGAAGCGCTCCAAGAGTTAAGTCCACCCTTACTCCTGTGCCCATCTCAGTGTCTCCTCCAGGAGCCAGGAAGGCAAGGGATGCACCTCAGGCTGCGTCGGATACCTTGAGGACTTCAGAAATACAACGGGAATCCTATCCCTCAAACAGGGCTTTTTTGAATGAGGTGCATCCGATCAAACTGCAGCCTCAGTCTCCTCTCTACGTCTCAGACTGTTTTGAAGAGGATAAACTAGATAAACCAGCCATAACCCCTCATGTCAGGTGCCGTGTGGACATTAAACCAGATGCTGCTGTTCTGCAGCACACATCTAGGCAGGTTCCCAATGTACGGACTGATCATCTTTGGCAAAGATACTCCCAGGCCAGTAGCAGTAGAGGTTTGTATGTACCTCGACAGATTGTCTCCTCACCAACGCCCACTGCGAGCGAATGCTACAGTGGAGATTTTAGACAAGGATACCACTATACCACCAGCATGTCTCCCTTCTCATACCAGCATCTAGACATGCACAGAATGCCATCACCAACAGCACCGTATCTGAGTCAAGAACAAAGAGCTTACTCAAATCCTAACATACCAACCAAGTTCTTCTATACAGAGGACCCTGTTAGGTATCCAGTCCACCCCTATTCTAGAGCATACTATCAGGATGACCGGTCCAGTCTAACCAGCCATGGTAGTACAATGACTAGTCAGTATGATCCAAGGACCCGATGGGTGCACACCCTCCCTGTCAGGTCATATTACACAGAAAACTATACCAACAGAGAGCCAGCACACTCTGTGTATAGTAGGCCTTACTCCACCAGTGAGGCAGGATCATACTTTTCGCAAACTCCACTGTCTAGGTCCTACTATGGAGAGGACACCCGGTTCAATCCATACCATATGAGTAACTCACGGTTGTTTTATTCCAAACCATGCTCTCCTGAGGAGCAGTACTATCCACCAAGGCCATACCATACTGAGGGTCGTCGACGCCCTCGTATGTCGCAGGCCTTTTCAGATGACTGGTATCGCTCAAGTATATCTGGTTACTCTAACCAGTCCTCTCAGCACACACCACCAAGAGTAAGACAAGACCCTAGTATACCTCCGTGGTTTACTAACAGCTTTGTGGAGACAAGTAGACTAGGAGCAGAGGTCAGAAACCACTCCAAATCTTGGGACAATATTCTATATCCACGGCATGACAGACAGCAGTCTGTTCCTCGTGGACGTAGCTATGAGAACCTGTTTTACCAAGCAAAGCAAGCAGCAGCTGCTGACATTACATCTCAACCTGTTATACTTAACCTCTCAAGTTCACCAAGGCGCTACGCTGCCCTTTCGCTCTCTGAAACCTCATTAGAGAGGAGCTCAAGCAATCCATGGAGGAATACTAAGAGTGGACACTGGTTTGTAACTCCTGAGATCACCATAACAGACAATGACATATGTGCAGCCAACAACAAGCGGCGTGAGGTGCACTCTGTCAGCTGGGATACGTTGGATGATGAAAAGACACCATCTCCGACAGTAATGCATCACAAGCAGCCACAAAATACACCGGACATAACCAAAGAGAGGAAACACAACAATTTCTCCCTCCAGCAGAGTCTAGAGCAACTGGACGAACTCTTAGCTGATTTGGTTGTTGATTACAAACCGCCAACCAGCAGAAAGTCAAGTGAAGATCTTTTAGACCAGCTGAAACAACTAATTACTGAAGATGACGACAAAGAGAGGGGATCCTCTGGACTTGAAAACTTAGGATGTCTGAACACACAGCTCCCGTCGTCTAAATCCAGCCCTGACACAATCAAAGACCCTGATAGCGGGTGTGATGCTTTACAAAGGAGTGCAGAGGAATGTTCTCCAGACCACAGCACAGACGAAGACGACACCATGGTGTGCGCTAACAAGAAGTGCAACCGGATTGAGAGTATGTTCAAAGCCTGCTTGTACTTCAAATCATGTCACAGTTGCTACACCTTTTACTGCTCACGAAACTGTCGCAGGGATGACTGGGAGATCCACAAAGAGACCTGTCTGTACGGCCGTGTGAACAGTGTGTGTCGACACACTCTTAAGTTCTGCAGAGAGAATTCAGAGATCCACAAAGCCTTCTCTCGTGTTGCTAAAGCTGGCTACCTCTCCAGGGGGAGAGGCGTTCTCTTTCTGGGTTTTGCTAATCCGGAGACAGCTGACAACTTCCTCCAAGTTGGGCTCGAGAGCCTCCTCATGTCTCCCACATACTTATCTCTCAGAGAGCTGGATGGCTTCAAGGACAACCTAGGCGAATACTGCAAGGAACTGCAGCAGGCAGGTAATGAGTATGACCCCAATGAATGTTTCCTTCTGAATGTATCCGTAGCTGTTGGTGAACTAGTGCCTAACAGACCTTCACCAAGGGTCCAAGCACCAACAGTACGAAAATATGCAAAGGTGTCCTTGGCCTCCTCAAGCCCTGACAAAAAGGTACTCAGGAAGGATAGCGAAATGGAAACTCTCATCCTCACTCCGCCTCCAGGCACACCGGACATTGACAAGGAGGGGGAGGAGGGAAGGAAAGCCAGAGAGGTGTGCTTTGTCAATATCCAGCGTGAGCTCAGGACCAGGGGAGTCTTCCTTCGTCACGAGTATCCCAAAATCTATAATCAGCTGTGTGAGTTTGTGGAGAGCAACAAAAGGTTCACTCCGACAACAATTTACCCGATAGATAAGAGAACAGGGAAACAGTTTATGTGCATGATCATGGCTGCGTCCGAGCCAAGAACACTGGACTGGGTAGGTACCCCTCATCTCCTGGATGATATTATATAGTACAGCACTAATAGTAATGATAATGATGTCAGCTACACTAAATGTAAATACTGTTAATACATGGTGTGGTTTAGCAAATTGAACATTGTATGTGTATATATGTGACAAATCTCTCTTTCTGTCTTTCTCTCCCTAATTTCTCTCTTCTGTCGCCACACACACAAACACTCACACATAAAGATGCACAGTATATAAACACACACACTTTTAAAGATTGCCCTATGTTGTTTTTGGCTTGTTTTGATCCTGTTGCACTTAGAAGAGTTGATAGCCTGCATGTAGACTAGGCACAAACCCAGTTATCCAGGTGTTTAAGATGTGAACATGTATGATCTGTGCAGTTTCTGAAGACAATGTATGAAGCACACAATATTTATGAAGTACACATCCCATTGCCACCACATAATAATAGGCACAGCCAGGTCTCATATTGTAACATTCATCCACTATTGATTTCTCCAACAAATGTTATATCAGAAATTTATATTATACCTTGTCACAGTGGTTGTAATATTACAACTGTTTATTAGTACTTAAGTATTATTTCCTAAGTATAATGTAGTTATGTGGGTATTTTTTTTAATTATTGCTATATTAATTAGTGTTTGATAAAGAAGTACAATCAAACCACCTATTTGTTTCCCACCTCATTAAGAATTTTAGTTGGAACTTAAATCATCTTGTGATAAGACTTGATGTCATTCTCGTATAAATTGCTTTGTTTGAAAGTGGCCTTCAGTCGAAAAAAAAAAATAAATGCATTTGACACAAAGCAATGTATAGGTTTAGCTATTTCTAAAGGCTTGACAGCTCTTAACTTAGGTTGTTTGAACTACCATTGTAAATGAACAATTATTTTGCTCAAAGCATGTTATTTATATTCAGGTATTTTAATATTGATATTGCTTATAATTAAATTTATTATGTTAATGAGATACCATTTGATGCTTAGAAATGTAAGAGGTATATTATATATTGAATATTAGATCATTTGAACATCATGACCTTGAGACCTTATTATAACTAATATCACAGTATGTTCTTAAACAATATGCAATAAAAGAGCAACCTTAACATCTATATTGTAAAATGCTATTTTATTATTAATATTGAATAAATCCCTGGAGCCAAGAGCTGCAAAGACTTTGTTTGCACTAAAATATAAATTATAAATAAAATAAGAATGTTCCTAACACAGCTGCAGCACTGATCCCAGATGTAATGATATGCCTGCTTCCATTGCCATTGTTGACTAATCTAAGGTTGCTCTTTTACTTGATTATATATATCTTTGTGCAAGACCTTCCTCAACTTTCTATTTTGTGATGTTTATAACCCATATATAAATATATAATAAATGGAATTTAACGAGTGACCTTGTGGCTTTGCATTTCTCTTCCAGAGTACTCATTATTTGGCATTAGCAGGGTAAAAATATTTCAGGTTCCATAGCATGATATTTATCAACATGTCTGAAGACATCAGCTGCCTGTCTTCTTCGCTCCTCAGCTGGGGTGCTTAAGATTTTATACAGTTTTATGACACACATGCAGGAGTGTTGCCACAAGAAAAATAAGAGGAATCAACCCCCTCCCTAGAAACAGATTATTTCTATTACATAAGAAATAAAAATAACTATTTTTTAGCTTTGTATTAAGTGCAAAATCTAGAATAAAACCCAAAGTACAAGTAGGGTGAAACTGTAAGCTATTGATCAAGTGTCATTATTTTTGATGTTCCTCCCTTGATCTACCTGAATATATTGATATTGTCACTCTCTCAACATCAATACATTTTGTTAAGGTTACTACATATGATGTCTGTTTACAGTTGTCATCTTTTGTAGTAAATACAGCTTTGTGGGGAGGGAATGTGGAGCACACTGTTAAAGTTTCACCTTTTAAATAGATGTGGCAAATAAGGTATCACGTTTCATTATCCTCTCTGTTGAGGGACTGGTTTGGATTTCTAATTGGCTGATGCTCTGGGATTTTTTATTTATTTATTTAGCTATGAATGTGCAATAACATGTCTGACGGTGTTATTGTAACAGGCTGCTTACTCCACGATTTTCCTGAAGTATCTTTCTTCTTCTGTTATTAGACCACCACCTAGTGGAAGAATGCATGTATTACTTTCTTTAAACTATATTTAAGCAGCCCTGAGCCCACCATCATGTCCATAAATGCTTGGATTGGAACACACACACACACACACACACACACACACACACACACACACACACACACACACATATACATATACATATAGTTATACATACAGTTTGTGCTTTTACGCCTTGTTATTCATTACATTAGTGCATGTACAATGTGACCACACTATTGACTGACTCAGTATCTTTATTCAGTTATAACATATCAATATCCCCTATAACTGCATTCTGCTGTCCTTACTTGAAAACATTCCCTCCAAAATATAAAAAATGGAAAATGACTTTTTGTTTTGCCTGTGTTATTGCACTGCACTGTAATATAACGTACTGCCAGGGGATGAGGTTCAGGTGTCCTGCTTTAGTGGCCCTTCAAAGAACTTGTTCTAATCCATTCGATTACAAACAAGCGTTGACGGTATTAGTGTTTGTATTTTTTCATTACATGTAAATGTATGAATTAATTAAATTGATTAATTCATGTGGGTTTTGTCACAGTTGCATTCAAATGCAGTAATAATATTTATGCATATACTGAAGCATTAACGGATAGATTTGCATTTGTGCAAACAAGTGTGAAACAAGCTTCCTAAATGGATATATACATCAATGTTAATCTGAAGCTAATGTGAGGTTTCAGCAGACTATACTTTATAATTCAAGTTGATATACTCCAGTGCTACAGTCCATTCAGTGTAAAATTCCCTTTCTGTGTTTCCTCAAACAGTGTTTCCTTGTTGAGGTTCTCTGGCTTCCTCCCACAATCCAAAGACATGCAGGTTAGGTAAACTGGTGACTTTAAATTTCCCGTAGGTGTGAGCGTAAGTCTCTATGCGTCAGCTCTGTGATAGTCTGGTGACGTGGCCAGGGCGTACCCCACCTCTCATCCGATTTCAGCTGGGACAGGCATCAGCCCCCTGTGACCCTGAACAGGATAAGCAGTTACGGATAATAAATAAATGGATGAATGTTTGCATGGAACAAAGACTGTGGAACTTGTCCCTCATTGAATACATTGGTGAGCATTAAGGGATCTCTGTGCAGCCGGTATGAACAGGAGGAATGATTACAGCTAGCAAAGCCAATTCAATATTCATATAGGCACCTGATGATTGATTTTAAGACAGACTTAAATATGTGAACCTTTAGCGTAAATCTTTCCTATAATGATTTCATCTTGGATTTCTGTAACAGTTAAATCCAGCAGAGTACAGTAAGAGAGCTGCAGATTGTAGCCGTAATAAGCCAGGTTTATTTATACAGAAAATGTGAAAATAACCCATTATGTGCACAAAACCAAAACCCTAAAATACAGTAAAAGAGTAAAAATTGTATAACTGGTCTACACAGACCCAAACAAACAAAACAGGAAGATCAATCATAAGGAATTATAACTAATTCGATTTCAGTCAGATGTAAAAACCAGAGAGAGGATGACCTATTGTTTTTTCAGTGTTTGGGTTTCAACATGGGGTGCAGCCACTGCAGAAGCATTAATTTCAATGTTGGTCAGCTCAATTTTCAATATTGTGCCATATAGACTAAAGTTATAGTTTGCCAATGTAGGCTATTTAGGCAGGCACAGAGATACAAGTGGACCAAATTTAGTTTTTACAAATAAAATAAAACAAAGCATTAATCCATGCCACGAAAAGTAGTCGTGTGACAGTGATCCAGACAGATTGACAGGTATTTACAGTATCCTACTTGGAGTAAAAAAAAACTCACCAAGAACATACTGATATTTCAGAAAGGATGTAGAGAAAACAACACAGCTATATGGCCACTATTTCAACTAGCAGCTGCAGAAAAATTGAATTGAGGATAACAGAAATTAAAATTAGTTTTAGATATTAATCTCTAAGATAGGTCATACATACAGGATATGAATCAGAAAATCACAAAATATTGGGCAATAATGTTCAGTTTCCATTTAAAACGGCTGTATGATTCGTCAGAAATGACACCAGGAATACAGGAATAACATGATGTGGTAGGCCAGGTTTTTTTTAATAGGAAAGCTTCCTTTAACAAGCCTTTGCGCATGCGGGCTGCGCAGGTCTCCTCGTGATGACAGCAAATGACAGCACTGTTCGCTCCTGCAGAAGCCAGTGTGAGACGGCTAACCGCCAACAAACAATTCCTCTGACTCGAGAAATCTGATGATCGGCTGTGTTTAGAGAAACAGTGAACAACCAGAACGCGCTAACTCCGTTTGGTAAGTTGCTGAGTTCATGTTAGCACGTTTTGTCGATCACATTTGGTCACCCAGGAGCTTGCAACCTAAAGCTAAAGCTAACGCAGCTAACTAGCTTATCGTTAGCTTACCCTGCTTTACTAGCAAACGTTAGCCGAGTTTAACTTGGTTAACGTTAGCAGGCTACTGCTAGGTTAGCCAGCTCACCAGTTTGCTGTCTGTGCTCCTTCTCAAATCACTGCAAACACAAGTCCGTCTTGACTGATAGAGTGTAACGCTAGCTAACACCTGGGTGTCTTGGCTTGTGTCAGTTTCCTTCATAGCATTTAGCTGACCCAACATTAATTACGTGGTTTGTTTGATATGTCTCTTAGCTCGTCTGGTGGTAGTCTAAGCCAAGGTAACGTAGAAAGCGGCAATATCCATTTATTTAACCCAACCCATCTCGATTTGTTCGTTAAATCTCGGTTGGCTAGTACCCCATCACATCAAGGACACTATAAACTTGCAACCTAACGTTAGCAGGACGTTAAAATGTCTCAGCTTTTTGTGTCAGAAGTGCCCACACCCACCCATTGAGCCTGTGAAGGGAATGTCTGGCTAAAGTTGTAACAACATAACCACTGACTCAGTGTTTGTAACGTTTAGGCGTGTAAGGCCGTGAGTTATAATAGCGTCCTGCCATTAAAACATCATTAATGTTTAAACACTTGATATTGCCATTAACTCTTTATAGCACAGAGATAATTACTGTAGCATTTAGTCATAGAAAAAAACCAAGTGAAGGCTTTTATTAGGTTAAAATGGCACACTTTTATTAGTTATCACTTGTAAAATGTGAGGTTTTGCTGCTTTTCTCTGTTTTATATCATAAAACAAAATATGTTTGTGTTTTTGCTGTTTGTCAGATGAAATATGTTCAAGATCTAAAGTATAAATGAGAAATGGTTGAAAATAATAATAAATTTCAACCCAGATATACAGTCATTACATTCCTCATTCCTCAGCTCTGTATCTGCTTACCACAAAAAAACTAATAATTTTTGCCTTCTGCCAAATGCCACATTACACAGGAAACCATGCCTTTGCATTATAGTTTCAGAAGTCAGTTTCAGAACGCACTCTTGTACGATTAAATCCTAATCAGCTCTAGTTGAGGCTCAGTCAACAGGACTTTCTTCTTCTGTAGTGATAAGTACAGATTGCTTGGAAATGGGGTCAGTTTACTTTATGGTTTGAGAGTGGAATGACTTTTAAGTTTTTGTTTCTACTGTTTATTTTGAATATGCAAATAGTACAAGGCTTCCTGATTGCTACTAAACAAAATCTTGGCACAACATAATATAGAAATGAAAATTGAGGAAGCAAAATAATAATAAAACACAGAAAAACATAAAGTAAATGACATATTCAAAAGTTGAAGTGTGACTGAGGGATTGCACGCTTGTTGCTTTGTATCTGGATTCATAATTCCTAGGCTCATTCATTAGTTTGAAGTAGATCCTTTTTTGTCAGGATGCACGGTACTGAAGGTTTTGCAGGTGATCAACAACACCAATGGTCATTTTAGTTGACACAGATGTAGGGCTGAGTATCGTTTAAAAAATTATGATACAAGTACCAATACCAGTACCCTCAAAGTGATACAGATACCAATTGAGCACCTAATTTGCTACCTTTTTCCCTACTTGATTTAATACCCATAATGTGAATGGAATCATTCAGTTGCAAAGACTGCCACCAGGCGCCACAGGCGTGTGGTACAGCCATACTTTGGAACATTTTGATGGAATCTCGGCATGCTAAATCGCCAACTCCGTCAAATACTCCAAGCTTGACTTCACCACACCACAGACTGTATGAGTCGTAGCTGCTGCGGTAGTGGGCCAATCACACATGATGTTAAATTGAAGAATGCTCCCAGTGATTCACCGTTAGTAAAACCATCCAAAAAGTCATTTTTTCCTAGATCTGGGTACAAAAAG